CCATAGGTGATCGAGGTAAAATGATCGGGAAAAAATCCCATCAGATATAATACATATGAACAATAACACTGAGAGAAAGGAAAGTACTTGTCAAGAGAAAAGATGAAACATATCTTATGTATAAGAAGCGAAAATACACATATATGTGATAACAGAAAAGTAAAAATCAAACATATATGAGTCAATAGTAGAATGAAGAAAAATACCGAATATGAACATATACATAAGAAATAAGTGGGTAGAGATGTGCGAATTACCACCTAACACCTCCTTCCCCACGGTAGATGAGCGCTCCTTCTGCTCATCGATCAGAAACATCACAACAAAACCTTGAATGAGAAAAGACAAAGTAAAACTAGAAAATTGAGGAATAGATAAGTGAAGCGTTTTGTTTTTTGAGTTGTCTACTGGTGATGAGGAGATGAATCAACAAACTGCCACTTGTAGATATTGATTGCCATAAGTATCACCATGTTCTTAACTTGTTAATAGTTATCGGATTGCCAGTTCGTATGGGCGATAGAGGGTTGATTATCGATTCAGAAGTGTGACCGACGTTCTTACGGATGGAAGGTAATCGATAACAGTAAAATAGTTTTGGTTAAAATCGTCTATTCACTTCCGATCATAGGATGGAATGAAATTGTTCACATGTTCTTCTTGTTGATAATGCATTTCGGCGTGTTCAATAATGTATTTGACATCGTTTATCCTTTCGATAATTATAAACGGCCCATGAAATCGAGAGTCAAATTTTGATCGACCGGACAATACTCGGACCCAAACTAATTCTCCTTGATGGTACGTCCGATTGGTGCGTCCATTGTCATAACGTTGTTTACTCAGCGATTGATGTTGTTGAATGTTCAGTCGTGCTGCACGAATAGCCAATTTCTTGAATCGATTTGCTATTTCCCAATAGTCATTTGGTTTAAGCATTGATATGGCTGATGAAGGCGGTTCAAATGGAGAAATCAGGTGTCGGTTAAATGCCAATTCGTATGGAATGAAATTAGTTGTAGCATGAATACCAGAATTGTATGCCCATACGATGGATTGTAAATAGACATCCCAATCATGGATATTATCGTTGCAATATTTTTTAAGTTGATCACAAAATGTTGAGTTAAATCGCTCAACTTGCCCATTAGACATCGGATGATATGGGATTGAGAAGACTTGTTTACAACCGGTTAATTTTGTGATGGCGGCTAACAATTCGTTCTTGAAGTGCGAACCTTGATCGGATTGGAGACACCGAATAGCTCCATGTTTCAGTATAATGTCTTCGAATATCATTTCGGCGGCATCCTTGGCAGTCGCGGATGGCAAGGTGCGCGCAAATACATATTTGGATAATCGATCAGTGATGATTAGAACGTATTGGTTTCCATTGTACGATCGAACAGGAGCCGTCCAAAAATCCATTTGCATAACCTCAAAAACTCCATCTGGCGGCTGTTCTTGTTGGAGAA